TGACTCTAGTGACTCTGTGACTTGGGCTGTGGCTGTGTAAAAGGAAGTGAACTTTATTTCACAAGCGGATTTTCTCATTAAATGGTCCTCTGCTTTTCTCATTAAAAGGTGGTCTGAAGCACCCTGGTTGGTAAAGAAGGGTAAAGTTAGTGTACATATCAGGTGTGTTCTAAAGAACCTGTACTTGCACCAGCTTCTCAGTGCACTGTTTGCCCTCAGGGTTGGCCTCACTGAACAAGAGGAGGCAAAGCTAGCCGTGCAGGAGTGAGGATTGGCCTCACTGAGCAAAGCTAGCAGTGCAGGAGTGAGGATTCCACTGGGTGGTGGTGCCCCCTGCTGGTGGACTGGAGGAACAGAGTCCAGTCCCTGCTGAAGCCGCCCAGGCAGCCTACTTTCTCCCGCCCAGGTGGGGCGGAGCAAAGTGCAAGGCCTCCCTCTGGTCACTGAAGGCAGAACAGAGTTCAAGAGCTTGGCGCTGGAGGTTGACAAGCCAGGGGAGAGGATTGATTAGCGATCCTGGTCTTTGGTTTCTGCAATCACAAGATGGAGATAGAAGTTCCTACTTCATTAGGCTGTGATCAGATGAGATGTTGGAACTACAATACTTGGTATGCAACTCGGCAGGTAGTAAGTACCCTACATGTTTAGCTTCCACTATTATTTTTAAGAAAAATAAGCAGGAAGACATGCCAGAAAAAAGTAGAGCTTGGCCAGCTCTTAACGTAGAATAGAAAGTTCTAGCACCAGGTGAAAAGCAGCTTCTTAGTTGCTTACTCTTAGCTAGTTCTTACCCATATTCCACAACACAATTCACAAAACTGAGACTGAGAAACTGGAATGAATGGGACATGGTGGCACACACCTGTAGTCCCAGCTACTTGGGAGGCTGAGGCAGGAGGATCTCAAGTTCAAGGCCAGCTTGGGCAGACTGAAAATAAAGATAACAAAAAGGGCTTAGGACATAGCTCAGTGATAGAGAGCTCACCTAGCCCAGGTGATGCCCTTGGTTGGATCCCCAGTGCCATAACAAAAGGTGGGGAGGGGAATGAAGACCTGGAGTGAAAGGTGGATGCAGAACAGAGTGTAAATATGACTCAGCCTTCAGCAGAGGCTGGAGAAGATGGAGGGGAGAGAGGTGCCCATGCCTCCCCTGCCAGGCTTCTCCTGCTCCTGGATATCTGCCGCCGGCTCCCCAAAGATCTGCTGGGCATTGCCTCCAATGAGAGAGTCAAATGGTATCTGCCCAGAAAACAGGATACAGAAAAGCAAATCTTGTCTTTGAAGACCAAACCATAGCCCACGTCTTTACAGGGCTCTTCTGCCTGCAGAGGGCGTATGGTTTTGAAACCAGGGGCTTGCGGCTGCATCTGGATGTGAGATTGGATGTTATTCAGCCCTGCATGGCTCTGCCCATTGAAACCAGACCTCTTTGTTTGTTTGTTTGTTTTAATGAAGTTCCTCAGAACCAGCTAACAGTGCAAAGCCAAATGTGGTGTGGTGGAGGCAGTTTTACAAGGCAGCTGCTGAAGTCTAGCCGAATGCACAGCCTGAGCATGTTCTAGAGAAGCAAGTCCCTTCCTGTGGGTGTTCAGGAAGTCTTCACAGCAGGGGGTCTCTTGTTTGTTCTGGGGAGGTTATTGTTGGTGTTTTTTTTCTTGGTGCTGGGTTTGAGTCCAGGAGTGTGTACCTCTGAAGGACATCCCCAGTTCTATTTACTTATTTAGATCCCTATCTAAATAAATAAATATCCTGCTGATTTACCCAGGCTGGCCTTCACCTGGCCATCCTCCTACCTCAGCCTCCTGAGTAGCTGGGATTACAGGCGTGCCCCTCTGTGCCCAGCTTACAGTAGCAGTTCTTGGAGTCTTTAAAATGACCCATGCCTTGCGAATCCAATGGTGAGGTGACAAATCATGGGGAAGGGCCCAGTGACCTCAGGATGGGGTCAGGAAGCAGGGTGTGCCCTAGTGACCCACCTCCTCCAGCCACATGCTACCTACCTGCAGTGACCACCCAGTCAGTCCATTCAACCTGGAGTGGACCTGAGGTCCCAGCTCTGGTGATATGATCATCTTACCTATGAACATCACTGAACTAATGACTTTAAAATACATGACTCAATATAAATGGACAAAAGATTTTAATGGACGCATGACCAAAAACAAGGTACGTGATCATAAGCATGTGAATTCCCGACATCCTTGGAACTTGTGGTCTGATCTGGAATGTTCCCCTAAGAGCTCATGTGTCAGGTAGTGTGAGGTTCAGAGGTGAAGTGTTGGCTCAGGACAGTGAGGGCCGGACCCCCATTTGATGGATTAATAACCTGAATGGACTACAGGGTGGTAACCACAGGCAGCTGGGGTATGGCTGGAGGATGGGTCACTGAGGGCACGGCCTGGGGACTATATCTGTCCCTGGCCTCTTTCTGTACTTACTCTCTCCCCACCCCACCCCCGTGTCTGTCTGTCTGTCTGTCTGTCTGTCTGTCTCTTTCCTGGCTGCAGTGAGTTGAGACCTTTCTCTGCCTTGGAACCAGCCAACCATGGACTGAGACCTCTGAGCACAAGCCAAAGTAAACTTTTTCTCATCTAAGTTGTTCTTGAAAGGCACTTTGGTCACAGTGGTAAAAAGCTGACTCACCCAGACATAACGTACAACCACAAGGAGATACGACTACATACCCCACTAAAATGGCTACATGTAAAAGACTGGCAAAACCAAGTGTTGGTGAGGATGTGGAGCAACTGGAGGCTCCATATATTACTGGTGGGAATGTAAATCATAACAACTACTTTGAAAAAGTTTGGCAGTTTCTTAGAAAGTTACCATATGGCCCCAACTTCTAGATATTTATCCAAGAGAAATAAAAGATGTATGCCCACCAAAAAAAACCTATACATGAATATGCAGAGCAGCTTTGTTCATGAGAACTAAAACCAGAACAATCCAAGTATTCCCCATCAGATAAGTGGGTAAACAAATTGTGGTATATCCATTCAATGGAATATTGCTCAACAATAAAAAAGAACAAACTTGTAATACATGCAAAAACACCATCAGATGAATCTCCAAATCACCATCAGAGGAAAAGAAAGCAGACACAAAAGAAGTTGCACTGTATGACCCCATTTCTAGAAGTTCCAGAGTGGGCAAACTATAATCAACAATGATAGAAAGGAGACCAGGGGAAGACTGACCACCAATGATTGTCCTGTCCTGTGTCTTCACAGTGGTCGTGGTTATTTAGGTGAATCCGTTTGTCAAAACTCGTCGAACTGTACGTTTTAACTGTACATTTAATGTGCAAATCTATGTAAATCACGCCACTTTACTGTCAATTTCTTAAAAATCCACGGGTATGTAGGTCCTTGTAGATCTATGTCCCCTGTCCAGGGCTCTCCTGTAAACTTCAGGTTCAAATGTCCCGAATCTTACTTGATGTTCCCACTTGAGTGTCTGACGGGCATCTCAACCTCAAATATCTGAAGAGAACTCTCAGTCCCCAGGAGAGCTGCTTCTGCAGGTCCTCCCTCTTCAGAGCATCAGCTTTGGCTCCTTCCTCCCGCTCATGGCCTGCTGTGCCCAGTCGACTAGCAAATGCTGTTGGCTCTGCCTCTCGTTGAAGAAAGACCCCTGCGTGTCTGGAGCGCAGGGTGGGAATCTGTCCACCGGCTGGGGGGCACTGACCCCCGCGAACCTTCATGAACTTGGTGGTTGTTAAGGTCTGTAGACAAGTCAAAATAACACCTGGTATTTTGCCAGGGGAATGTTAGAGTTCATAAACAAGTCTGGATGGTGCCTGGCAAAATGCCAGAGGGAGTGGTTTGAAAAGTAACAAAAGCAAGCCATCAAGTGTGGAGATTCCTTATTGGTTGACTGATGTATCTAGTTTATGCTAATTAAGATAAGCTGTGCAAAGTGTATAAATAGCTCTGTTGTCCTACAATAAAGGGCTCCCTCTCCTGCTGTATCAACATGCACAAGTTATTCGTCACCCCCCAACTATTCTGCTGCAGCCTGATGGCAGGTGGTCACCCCAGTCTCCCTGGGAAGCACGTGGCTACGGAGGCTGGACCAGGCACCAGAGAACAGCTTCTACCGTCTCAGGAGCCAAGCGGACACCTGGCCTCAGAACCTGGCGTTTCTTCCTGCCCTTTGCCCTTTGCCCTTTGCCCTGAGCCTTGTGGGTTCCATTCTGCACAGGGAGCCCCTCTGAACGTCCCCTGCCACCCACTCTAACCTGCCTGCCTCCCTCTCACGAGGTCCCTCCGGATCCCGTCTGGCTCCC